GCGAGTTTGTAGCCTATGGGTTCACGCAGAGACCCCTAATTGATTTTAGTCAAATATACTCTCCCACAGTAAATGACATTAAGTTCCGCTACACAATACAATTGGCAGAATACTAAATTTAGATATGCAGTTAAATTTATTTTGAGAAATCCCTGATAGATTCATAATTCTCGAAATGAGGATTTATTTAAGTATTATTATGTGTCATTATTTACTCTTTAAAGGGTTGCAAATGGGGTTAATATCCTCATTGAAGGAATAATATGTACCATTGTGTGCTCGATAAAGGGTTGATAATGAACTTATTCATTATTTATTATCTCAGTCAAGATTGATGGTGTAAACATCAATGAAATATATAAAGAGCTTGATGATGTCAGTTCATGTTTAAAGACTGAGATTTTTGAAATAAAAAGCTTGTGAAAGCTATAAGTATTATCTCAACTTGAAGATCGAGTTTTTCTTTGAAGTTTTTTATATACACCAGTCAGCCTACATCTAAAAATGCTTTTTCACATGTCTCTATATTCATATAAGTGTCATGTTTTTATCAAACTAAAGGTTGCCTAATAATCTCTTGAAGCAGATAAGGAACCTTTTTGGACTTGAAGTCTTTACTTCATTATCATTGGAGCACCATTATAGAACCCGAAGTTCTATAACCGCAACATATTTGCGATAAAATTGCTGGCAAAATCTAGTGCTCCCCCTACAAATGAAGTACTTGAATAATGATTAACATATCCTCCGGTATCTTTGAGATACAAAGACATGATATTTATGTAAGAAACCATGATACAGTTTTAATAAGCTACTGGGGTACTGGCTGTTTTGTTTGATCTCTGCAATGCCAAGTCCAAACTGGTTATAAAATGAATTTCCCTAAATGTTCAAAATGATGACAATAACACTTGTGTTGCACAAATGTTATATGAGCTCTAGAAAAGCCATAAGATTATTGTACACTACTCTAGTGACAATCCAGAAGATTTGTCCAATCCATCTCTTCAAATTTTAAAATATATGTAGAACTTGAAGATTGTTATCTTCAGGGGGAGACTGGAAGTACATTTACTCGAATCAATCCAGAAGATTGAATGTAAAATCCTGAAGATTAAGTCATAAAAGACTAACAGTTGCGCACTATTTGCAACACAACGGGAAGTACATTTACTTGAATCAATCCGGAAGATTGAACGTAAAATCCTGAAGATTAAGTCATAAAAGACTAACAATTGCTCACTATTTGCAACACATCATGTACTCTTTTCCCCACTAGTTTTCTCCCATTGGGTTTTTCTAGTGTGGTTTTTAACGAGGCATGAGTATGATATAATGATGTAAAAGAGGAAATGTTGCAAAATAATTGCTTAAATGGACAAACTCCAAAATCCTGAAGATTATGCAGTTTGCGCCCTAAAGACTTATGGTTGTACTCTTTTTCCCTTAACTAAGTTTTTCCCACAGGGTTTTCTTAAGTTAAGGTTTTTAATGAGGCGACCAAATACAATATATGTTTTTACATATATCATGTACTCTTTTCTTCAACTAGGTTTTTCCCACGTGGTTTTCCTAGTGAAGTTTTTAATGAGGCATGAATATATTTTCTATTGTACTCTTTTCTTGTCTAGGTTTTTCCCACCGGGTTTTCCTAGCAAGTTTTTGACGAGGCAAGATCGATGGCAAAATAATGTCCAAGGGGGAGTGTTATAAAACCTTTATTTATGGACATTATTATGGTATTGATGATGAAATAAGTTGTAACAGCTTGGTACTTATGGCATCTTTGTAACAGCTATCAACTATAGACTATATATTTGTGTGTACCCCATTGGATATGGATCGATGGTATAATGAAAACCTGACTGCTCTCTTCATCCTTATCTATTGTTTTACTTTTTACTTTTACCTTTATGTTATTGATATAATCATGCAACCCACCGGTTAGAAGCTAAAGGCCAGCGGGGCATCTCGCTTTACAACAATTTATAACATTTAAAGACCTGCATAAATTAAACTACATTTTTATAAGTCAATAATAAATGAGGTATTAAAAATGCAAGCATGCATTTTTTTCAATTATTATCAGATCTAGATCTCTGTGTTCAGTCTTAGAAATCACATGCTGTATCCTTTTGACTTCGTTTAAGGCATTTAATTTGGTAATTAATAACTGAATTAACCAAGAAAAGTTGAACTCCCTAACTCACTATACTAGTTTAGCTTACCGAGATATATATTTCATATATGACAAGAGAAATTATACCAAATAATGTAGGGGTTATATATAATTATGCCACGTTATGAGATATAAGAAATGAGAACTTTTTATTAGTATACGAGCGTACAAAGTAATTGGGAGTTCAATTGGTTGAGTTTAGAGGGGTCGAAAGCTGAGTCAAAGACTCTAATAGGAGAAAAATAACAAAAATGGACAAAAATATGACATTTTAAAAATTTTGACGAAAATAGAAAAACTCATTTACCAAATGCGTATGTCGATAGAATATTTATTTTGTATTTATTTATTTATTTTTTTTGCAGACAAACTGACACACAACACTACTGGAAATTCTGAAATTTCCGACCACCTGAAAGTGATCATAAATCAAGTTGAAAGTCTTGTTCCGACCACTTTTGGTATCCGGAAAAGTTGATTGGGTACTTAAAAATATTAATCCGTTGGGCAAACTTCTATACCTAACGTTTGAATTAGTGAGTTATTGAGTTACTTTATAATCCCATCCAAAATTACAATTTTCATATTTAAAAAAAAAAAAGTCAAAATATTATATTTTATGGGAAAATACTTGGCGTACTCTCATTTTATAGTCCCAAGTTGTACTTCTTATTACTTTTTTGTGGACCCACATGATGAAAATAATCAATCCTGATTTGTTATCTCAGGGAGTACAAATGAAGGAATAGAATTTGAGAGTCTATATAGTATAACTCTATTTTATGTATGCATCTACAGTTTCTTTGGATATGTTTTTGCCTTTTTGGTGGGTTGTTGACTTAGCTTGTTGAAAGTAAATCACATGCATGCTCTTTATCCGCTGGCCACTGCACGTTGGAGTAATTATATTCATGATCAACTTGTAAATTATGTATTATCCAATACAAATGACCGCAAATAAGACAAAATTAAGATTGTTAATCAACAACCCCATGCAATATACTTCTAGTTCATATATACTTGGAGTTTGAAATAATTCAATTCATTTAAGTAACTGAACCTAATTTAAGTTAAAAACCTTTTCAATTCACTCGTAACTGGTCGAGTTACTCGAGATTTATAACTCAAATGTAATAAAAAAAAATGTATTTAAAAAAGACACGTGTCAAACATGCTAAATGAGTCACTTTAGACTTAATTGAATAATTTACAGGTGCCTTTCTTAACCTGTTGAACCACAAAGAGTCAACACTGCATCTACTGAGACTCGATCTTATGACCGAGTCACTACATGTCATCTGAACACAAGGTATTTGCAACCTTTTTCTTAATATTTATATGCACTGCAGGAGTATAATTTATATGACGTCAAAATGGTGACGTACGCAAACGCCCGTTTGTCCAATGCGTAACATGAGAATTAAGTCGTGCAAATATATTTAATAACGCCAACATATATGTGAACAATGATTATTTTAACTTAAATTTGAGTTGGTCAACTTAATGTAGCAAATAAACAATGACCATACAGAATGTAAACAAGCAAAAACTTTTTTTTTTTTTTTTTTTTTTTTTGTTTTAAATCCAAACAATGTATTGTATCAATGTACACATACCCTGTTTGGTAAATGACTGTTAGTTGTTAGCTGATTGAGTTAATTAGAGGATATAACTAGTTGATAATATTAGTTGATTGTAGAAAGGTGTTTGGTAAATTAGCACTTAGCTGATAGCTGTTTGGTATAATTTCTTTTCTCAAAAAGTTAAGTTGCTTTGAGTAACTTTTAGAATTTTAGCATTTTGGAATATAAAAAACTAATTAACCAAATACTTGTATTGATTTTTAAACCAAGTCAAACAACTAATAGTGGTTAAATAAGTCAAAATTGACCTATAGGCTAATTATTTTACTAAACATGGCCATTATATTTTAGAGTTTTTGTCGCTTATATGATCTCACGAATTAAATTTTGTAGTCACTTTCTGTCATTAAAAAAAATCTGGTGAACAATCATTAAAAATTGTACATACACTCAAAAAATAATGTTTTTATTATATGATAGTATAAATTAGACGAAATGTAGGCGTTTATAAATATACTACGTTATGAGATATAAGAAATAAGAATATATTGTTAAATGAGTACAAAGCAATTAGGAGTTCGATCAATTGGTTGACTCTATGGGTCAGAGTAGCTCCGATTAGTTGGCAAGTATTATAAAAATTATATCAGATTTTACTCTGTTTGGTTCATGAAAAATTAAAACATTTTTCATAAAACAATTTTTTACTTAACACACATTTGATATTCTAATTTCAATTGAAAACTAATAGGATAATTTTGTTCTTATTAATTGGGCACTTCAGAATCTTAATCCCTTGGACTGTTATCTAGGTTTACTATTTAAATTAGTGAGCAATTATGTTATTTAATACCTCCATCAAAAATGAAAATGTGATCTTAAACAACCAAAAAAAAAAGTCAAAACAATCATACTTTATGTATAGATCTAGGATTCTTTCGAATCACAATATATATGTAATTTGGTGGGTTGTTGAAAGTAAATTAATCATCAGATCACATGCTCTATATGAGCTGGATGGCCACGTTAGAGTAATTTAATTTGTAAATATCTGTATTATCCAATAAAGAAAAAGACACAATTGAGGTTGTTGGCAAATTAATATATAAATTTCTAGTACGTCAATCATATTATAAATAGTGTGATCATATCTATACTTCAATTCACCACACAACGTAACGCTCTCTCTGATATTTAGCTATACTAACTATCCTTTTGCAACGACAATCAACAATATAATGGCGGCGGCGCTTAATGTTTATGGCAACCCAATTTCGATTGCTACGATGAGAGTTCTTGCTTGCGTGTACCAGAAAGGACTCAAGTGCTACATTAACCACCCAATTAATGCACCAATCGGTGAAGAAAAAAGTGTACGTCTGTTCTCTCAATACATGTTGATTCTGTTTGTTAACTTATTTAACCAGTATTAGCTGTTTGACTTGGTTAAACAATTAATATGCAGCTTTTTGGTGAAGTGCCAGCCCTTAAGGATGGATCTTCGAAGATCTATGGTACAGTGATATATATTATATATGGAAGTAATTTAATTAAGCTTAGTACTTTGTGCAGCTAGCTAGGTTTTGGCCCTGTTTGGTAAAAAATTGGCCTATAGGCCAATTTTAACTTATTTGACCACTATTAATTGTTTGATTTAGTTAAAATATCAATATAAATGTTTGGTTAATTAGCTTTTTGCAATTCCAAAAGACTAAAATTAAAAAAGCTACTCCTAGCAACTTTTTCAATTAGCTTTTTGAGAAAAGAAATTATACCAAACAGCTATTAGCTAACAGCTAATTTACCAAACACTTTTCTACAATCAGCTAATGTTATCAACTATTTATACCCTCTAATTAACACAATCAGCTAACAGCAAACAGCTATCAGCTAACAGTCATTTTACCAAACAGGGCCTTTGTTTTTCATGGATGAATTATATTGTTGTGGGCGGAGTTATAAATTAAATTTGATATATGCAATGCATGTAGGATCACGGGCGATTACGAGCTACCTTGCATGCAAATACGGTGAGCAAGGGACGGAATTGATACCCAGAGATGGGGCGAGGATGGCGGCGATGTTTGAGTTGATGGATATGGAAGTTCGTAGGTTAGACCCAGTGGTTTCGAAGATAGCGTGGGACGACACAAGGATGAAGGGGATTATGGAGATGGTGAGCGGATGCGAGTCTGATGATGCGGTGGAGAAACACAAGAAACAGCTGGAGGGAGTACTGGATTTATACGAAGAGCGAATTAAGACGCTGGGATACTTTCCAGAAACTTCGGCCGCCGCCGCCGGAAAAAATGGCAGAATGATGACGTTGGCGGATGTGAATCATATGCCGCTTTTCCACTACCTCGCCAACACCCCGTCGCTTAAGGGATTGGTGGACGGCCGCCCCGCCGTGAAGAAATGGAGTGACTTTATCCTCGGCAGTGGAGCTTGGGGCAAGGTCACAGATACTCATGTCCAGCCCAATTAATTAACCCTCGGCAGTGTTGCATGCGTCATGCGTCATGCGTCATGCGTCATGCTTGTGTTGTTGTTTCAATCAGTTTATCTTTGGTTTTACGAATTACATACGATGAAGCTGCTAGCTTAGCTTCAATGTACGTAATTCCTGAACGTGACTGTATGCATGTGTTACGTTGTAAGTTTCAGTCCTATATTGTTTCTTTGGGTTACCGTATGTGGTCCGTGCATGTGATAATTAATAATAATATATCTATCTTTGGTTTCTAGCGTTACTTTAATTTCATGTCTGATCTTTAGATTATATATTGGTGGGATCGGAATAAGATATACATACAGATAAGAGTTAAGGCCGGCTATCTTTATTCTTTAAACTTTGCTTCTTTCAAAGTAACATAGATTAAGTGATATCACTATTTATTAATTATTACTCCTTACTACGTACGTAAAATGTTGCAGGAGCAGTTGATTTTCATGGTGCAAAGAAAACAGAGAGAAGAGAATTTTGATCTATTAATTAATCAATTGTAGGTATTACATGCAGGTGAAGATGAGGTTGTATATAGCCAAACAAAATGATTTAAAAAGACAATATCGAAAACCCTCTAACAAACTCATTACAAGCTCAGCTAAGTGTTAGGATCGAAACAGGTTCACAACACCAAATTATAATAGCAACTTGAACTGAAAATAATATTGAGAACACTAAAATTTAGAATAAATCATATACACAAGGCAAATTGAAGAAGAATTTTTGTATTGACATATTACCATAGAAATTACAAATATAACTCCATATTTTACTCTCTGTATTTTTGCTATGCTAATGGGATTTTACAAATGGGATAATTTACAATAAAAAGAGTTGTCTATTTATAGGAAACTCAATGCCTAGAGAATTGCAAAACATTTAAGAGCATCCACATTAGTTGGGGAGATTTGGGAGATAATGTAAGAGTGATTAGGAAAGAGAATGTGGGAGTGGAGAGAAAAAAAAGGAAAAAAAAAATAACAAAACAAAAATTGAAAAAAATAATAATAATAAAAATCTGCCGCGTCAAGCTCGCTGTCAGTGCGCCTGACGCACTACACGGGCGCGTGCATTGCACGCGCCCGTGTAGACATTGGCTGTGCGCAACCAGTGTTTTTTTTTTTTCCTGACATTATCCTTGAACTTGCAGGATAAATATTTTCACAAATAACCCCACCCCACATTTGTTATTATCCCCACCCAAAATAATTCATCTGACATTATCTCCCTAATATCCACTGATGTGGATGCTCTAATGCACCATTAAATGCAATTCGATCTTCTCGTGCAAGTAATTTTCCTTACTCAAAACCTTAGCCCAAACTTTCCCCCTTTCTCAAACCTTAGCCCACGCTTTTCCCTTTAGGAGAAACCTTTGCCCAAGCAATTTCCCTTTCTCAAATTTATGCACAAGCAATTTCCCTTTCTCAAACCTATGCCCAAACATTTCCCTTTACTCAAACCTATGCCCAAGCATTTCCCTTTACTCCAACCTATGCCCAAGCATTTCCCCTTTGCTCAAACGTATGCCTAAGTTAAAACCTTAGCCCAAACTTTAGCTTCTACATTTGACTTTATTATTTACACTAAAATGAGTTGAATACAGAGATACTGATATTCTGGAATACTCTAGCATGGATTAGACTTCATCAGGGACTAGTATGTTGCTATTTCTTCAACACCCCTGCATATCTTGTAATCCTAGCTTAGAGATAAAATTGTAAGATTTTCCCTAATAATATATATTATATATTATATATATATTAGGGCCTTAATTAAGTGGTGCAAGTTGACTAGGCTTATTAAGTGGTCTGGTTGGACTTAATAACTAGTAGTTGTTAGTCAACCAAACTCTGTGCCTAATATAAACCTGGATTGATGGGATACAGGTTCATGGATTAGATAGCACATTCAGTTACGGTACTCAGACTGCTCAGTAGATACCAATACGCCATCTAGGGTTCTGAGTCAGGTCTGAGACAAAATATGGTTGACGGTCTACCGTTAAGAGGCAACACAACAGGAACATCAACTATGGCTGGAGATCAACACGACTACGCTTCCGCTATCATACGAGGTTAGATTTTCGTATACTATGGTTCATATAGTTAGACTATTTTAGATCTAACATTTGGTATCAGAGCCTTTATCAATCTCTGCCTGGTTGATTGTTTTGCCTAAAAATCAACATTAATTAATATCATAGATTGATTTTAATATATGTTGTTTTTCGAAATATTGTCTTATGGACTTGATTGATTGTTGTTGCTATGTTGTTGCCGTGTTTTTGAAATCCACCGCCATCAAATTTTGGCCGGAGGAATACGTACGGTTCGATGGTAACAAATTGTAGAGCTCTCTAGTGGCAAAGGAGTTCATTGGAAATCAGTCATCAGATGGCGTTGTCTACTACGTTTTTACCAACGTTGGCGTAGAGACAGTGTCGTAGGCGCAGTGGGGTGGCGACCGACTTCATCTTTGAAAAAAGGTTGGTTGCCATAGTGGCGGTCAGACAGTGCGTCATAGTGGGGTGCGTCATGTAATAGTTAATATTTTAAAAGTTTAATTACGCTATTATTATGTTGATTTTAAAATTTATTGTTATTTGAATTTGAATTTTTTTGTTTGAAATGAATTTGAATTTGAAATAACTACTTTAATTATATAACTAACGTATTTAAATAAACCTTTTAAATAAAATAGCAGACGATATTTGTCGAAAATCTCTACCAAAAACTTATTTATTTGAAAAAGATTATTTATGTAAGAACTATATTTATTTTATATCTATTTTATCCTCTTTATATATGTTGAGTTAAATTAATTATAACTGATGTTTAAATGAATGTATACATAAATTCTATTAAATATAAAACTTTACCAATAAATTTGAACACAATAAACTTGTTTCCATACTTCATTATGCTTTAATATATATAGAGATAGAGATAAAGCTATAATAATAAAGGGTGTTGCTATTTGCACCAACCTTTGACCAAATATGATATAAAGTATCATTGAAAATGTAAAAAGGTGGTAAATTATAATAAATATATGGGTGGTGCAAATAGCCTAATGGGTGGTCAAAATGCTATTTGCACCACCCTATTAAAACTGCATTTATGAGATCAAAATTTAATTCTAAAAAAAAAAAAAAAAAAAAAAAAAAAAAAACGAAGAAGCAACCATCGCCTTCTCCGGTGAGAAGGCAGCCCACACAGTGGGTCGCCTTCTCGCCGGAGAAGGCAGCCCAGTTTCCTTCTCCGGTGAGAAGGCAGTCCCTCGCCTTCCTCACCGGAGAAGGCGATGGTTGCCTCTTCGTTTTTTTTTTTTTTTTTTTTTCCTGCCTCCTTGCCTTCCTACCGTCCATTTTTTTGTTTTTCAATATATATTTATTTTAAATTTATGGTTTCAATAGATAGATTTTTGAACTTGATAATTTTAATACATATATTTTATAAATTTACAATTTCAATTCATATTTTTTAGTTAATATTGTTGTTTGTGAAATGAAATTACTTGTATTTTGAACGGCAAGGAATTCAAATTGGACTTAAATGGCTCTATATATATATGTGGTGTGTGTGTGTGTGATGTACATGCATACAATCAACAATTTACAAGCTATGGACGGTTGGATAGATAATTTGTTTAGCTACAACGATCAAAATCAAAGCCAATTTCTTAGTTACAATGGTCAAAATCAAAATCAACAACATTACGAGGTATTTTAATTTTTTTATTTGAATTGTTAGTGAAATGTTACAATTGAACTTATGTATATTTGTTCATTGCTTTTATATATTATTTAGAAATTTAAGTTCATTGCTTTCATATATGTTCATTGATTTCACATATATATATATATATATATATATATATATATATATGTGTGTGTGTGTGTGTGTGTGTGTGTGTGTGTGTGTGTGTGTGTGTGTGTGTGTGTGTGTGTGTGTGTGTGTGTGAACTTAGTAAATTGAATTTTACGTATTATTTATATATTCATTGCTTTTATATATTATTTAGAAATTTAGATATGTATATTTATTTTTGATTACAAATTCATTGCTTTAATATATCAATATTGAATATATTATTTTGTCTTTATATATTAAGAGTTGTTATTTGTTTGTTTGTTTAGGACGAAAATGCAATCGAACTTTATGATGACAATAGAAATAAAGATGATGATCAAGTGAACCTAAATCTCGAGGTTGCATGCGAATTGTCTACAGAAACGGTAAACAAAATTCATACGCAGATAAGAGCTCCATATTGATATATATATATATATATATATATATATATATATATATATATATATATATATATATATATATATATATATGCATGTTGACTAATAACATCATGGGACTATATTGTTTTTTTTTTTTTTTTAATTATTATTATTAACTTGTAAGCATGTAAGCAACAACATGTTTGTATATATTGTGCTTTAATTAGTACGTATACTTAATTTATGTTTTTGTTTTTGTTTGTTTTTTTTTTTTTAATTTGTTGGTATACATGCATGTAGTCATTCACGCCTTAATACTCAACTTAACATTTTATAATCTTATACCCACTTTTTATTAATTAATTAGGTATTTTTATTATTGATACAAATAATTTTTTTATTAGGCATTCATGTCTCACGAAGATTTAATTGAATGGGTTCAAAGTAGAGGTCGGAATCTCGGATATGTTATTGTGATTAAAAGGTCCCGGAATAAAAGTCCTACAGTTATATTTCAGTGTGACCGTGGTGGTACTTACGTGCCAAAAAAAATCTCATCTAAAAACACGGGTACAAGAAAAATTGATTGTCCATTCCAATTGGAGGGGAAATACATACGTGTTGATGGTTGCTGGAGGGTAAGGGTAATATGTGGAGTACATAATCATGATCCTGCATTGCACCTTGAAGGTCACCCTTATGCAAGGCGATTATCAGGAAATGAAGTCGAATTGGTGGAAAA